CAAATGGTTTTCCGTATTAAATCTAAATTATATATGAAAAAGGCGGAGAGGAGAGTTTTGTGTTCATTGTGTACACAAAATAAATGATTTATAACCATGCATATAATTTCATTAATTTGTATCCATGTAAGTATGAAAAGTAAGTAAGTTAAGTACTGTAATTTTTTTATATTGACATACATGTATGCACAAAATTATTTTAAAAATTCTTTCGTTTACAGACTTTATAAAAAAAAAAATCAATACCCGCCCCATCGGGCCTATATGCCATTTTAAACACAAAATTGAAATACATTTTATATAGAAAATAAAGAGCAGGACATTAAGAGAAAAAAAAAAAGTTCTCAAAATAAACCCAACTGTGATAAATATATATATATGCATTTTGCACGCTTAGGTTGGTAGAGTCTGTTTTAAGAATTATTGGTAGATGAAAATGACACTGAAATACATTTTTTTCTGAACAAAATGGACTGTCTTCCCATAAATGAAAAAATACTTTGCAACCTGTCTATGGGATAATTTAAAACAAGAGGCCCAGGGGCCACAGCGCTCACCTGAGCACATCGGGCTTGAAACTTTCCCCTTTCCAGGCCTTCATTATTTGAACAAACTAGAATCCACACTACCTGAGGATGATTCCATATAAATATATCACTAATCATAGCTTTGAGGTACTTGAAAAGAAGATTTTAAAGTGTTTCCCTATATATCCCTATGTAAAAATTGGGACAGCTATTTTGGCCCCCACTTGCCCCGGGAGTCATGATTTGAACAAACTTGAATCTTCACTACCTGAGGATGATTCCACATGAGTTTCATCTTTCCTGGCCCAGTGGTTTTTAAGAATAAGATTTTTAAAGATTTTTCCTATATATTCCTATGTAAAACTTGGGTCAGCCATTTTGGACCCACCCTTGTCCCGGGGTCATGATTTGAACAAACTTGAATCTACACTACCTGAGGATGATTCCACATGAATTTCATCTTTCCTGGCCCAGTGGTTCTTGAGAATAAGATTTTTAAATTTTTTTTATATATTCCTACGTTAAACTTGGGTTGTGGATTTTGGCCCCATCCTTGCCCCGAGGGTCACAATTTGAACAAACTTGAATCTACACTACCTGAGGATGATTCCACATGAGTTTCATCTTTCCTGGCCCAGTGGTTCTTGAGAAGAAGATTTTTAAAGGTTTTTCTATATATTCCTATGTTACATTATAATCCAGGCTTTTTGATATCATTGACAGCTGCTTCTTCAACAAAAATGGAACTCGTAAGTTTACTTACCTCGTCATTGGTCATTTGAAAAATTATTTTGTTAAAACAGATTCTGATTGCACACATAAGTACTCTGAAGTTGACATCAAGAAGATGCTAGAGTTTCTGATTGACAATATCTATGTGTTTTTTGGAGATTATGTCTTCAAACAATCTATTGGAATTCCCATTAGTACCAATTACGCTCCGTTATTAGCAGAATACTTTTGTATTCATATGAAGCAGATTTGTCCAAATATATTATACGTGAAAAGAAGAAAACACTTGCTGTAGCTTTCAACTTGACATTTAGATATATCGACGACGTTGTCAATTAACAATAATTTCCATTCTTTTGTCGTTACATTATATCCTGGTGAGCTTGAGAAAAAGATACCACAGAGTCTGACACATCTGTTTCATATTTGGATATTTTACTTGAAAAAGACACTAATGGTAATCTAACAACCAAGTTTTTTGATAAACGTGATGACTTTAACTTTTCTATCGTCAACTTCCCTTACTTATGCAGTAATATACCTTTATCACCTGCATACGGAGTATTTATATCTCAGTTGATTCGATACACAAGAGCATGCTCTACGTATGAACAATTTCTAAAACGAGGTAAATTATTGACAAGCAAGTTGATGAAACAAGAATATCAACAGTCTCGTATAAAGTCATCATTTCGTATGTTCGATGGTTGATACAATGACCTTGTCAGCAAAATAAAATTTTTCATTGAGTCAAATGTTGACTGGTGTTTTTCATGCTCATTGTTAGTTTATTATTTATACACTGAATTGACCACGGATTTTTTTCCGTTATTTCCTGATTATGACAACGAGCACACCGCGGGTGTGACCAGTCGGCAGGGGATGTTCACTCCTCCATGGCACCTTATCCCACCTCTGATGTTTAGGAGGTCCGTGTTTGCTCTGCTCTTTATTTTGTATATTTGTTTAATGGACGTTGAGATTGAATACTGTTCGTAATTTCCATATCCTTCATGTAAATCTTGGTTGGTCATTTTCGCCCCACTCTTTCCCTGGAGGTCATGATTTGAACAAATTTTAATCTATACTACCTGAGAATGATTCCACATGAGTTTCATCTTTCCTGGCCCAGTGGTTCTGGAGAATAAGATTTTTAAAGATTTTTCCTATTTATTCCTATGTAAAACTTTGGTCGGCCATTTCGGCCCCATCCTTGCCCCCGGGGGTCATGATTTGAACAAACTTGAATCTATACTACCTGAGGATGATTCCACATGAGTTTCATCTTTCCTGGCCCAGCGGTTCTGGAGAAGAAGATTTTTTAAAAATCCCATTAATTTTTAACAAATTCATGATTATCTCCCCTTGGAAAAGGGCGTGGCCCTCATTTTACAAACTTGAATCCCCTTTGACTTAAGGATACTTTGTGCCAACTTTGGTTGAAATCGGCCCAGTGGTTCTTGAGAAGAAGATGAAAATGTGAAAAGTTTACAACGACAACAACTACGACGACGACGACAACAACAACAACGACAACAACGACAGACAACGGACAAATTTTGATTAGAAAAGCTCACTTGAGCCTCTGGCTCAGGTGAGCTCATAAGTATACACAGTAAATCCATATATATGACCATGCTATTTGATTGTTGGCAGATCGAGTTAATTTTCAAAAACGTTTTGTTCCGCATTCAGAGTAGAAAGGACAACGCATCAAAAAAAAAAAAAATCTACATTATCAAGCACTACATAATTTTCTCTACCTAATGTTCTTTTAAAATTGGAATGCTTAAAATCTCACTGCTCATATATTTGCTGTTGAAGTAAATTATACTGTGATTTTGCTACAGATAAACCATAATTTCATAATTCTTTTGTAATGGCATTGATCAGAATAGCCCCATCAAGACATTTCACCGTAACGCAAAGTTCATAGTATATTAAGACTACAGGTATTGTAAGGAATGAGCTCACTAAATCATCCCCCGCCTCCCATATGGCTATAATGTCAAAGTCCATGTTTCGCTATGGCCGGAAAACCCAATATATACGTCCGAGCAAAACGTCCTAACAAATTACGGAAAGCTACAACAACCACCACAAGAACTAGCACAAAATGTTCCTACCTTGATTAATTTTAATAATAAACCCGTGCCAAAATATTACCTATATACATGTACAGCGCTATACACTGGCGGATTAAGAGAGGGCCCAGAGGGCCCATGGGACTCCTTTTTGCGTTCAAAAATACACAATATTTAATAAATCAAAGTTTTTTTTTTATGTGACTGTGGGCTCCTACCCTGACCTAAAACTGGTTCCCCGCCCCCTTTTCAAAATCTCTAGATCTGCCACTGCTATATGTACAGCATGTAACCATCAATATAATACCCCTTTCCTTTAAAATATCTCGAAAAAAACACTATTATAGTAAAAGAAGTCAATGTACATAATGTAAACTTTAAAAGCCAATAAAATGTTCACAAGGATCTTCGATATTTTGAAGATGAAAGTAAATAGAAAAAGAATTTTCTAACGACTGACACAATAAAAGCGTGTCGAACACTTGGATTTCACGTGAGAAAAGTGATTATAATATCTAACGGGTCACATGGGCTGACACTAGGTGACCTGATAATTTAGTAGCTAACTCGAGCGAAGTTTGGGTACATTACTTTAAAAATTAGATATGAGCCGCAACTTGGCCAACATGGTCCTTGGGATATGTACAAGTTTTAGCTAATATTCACTTTCTGTGCAAATGAGAAAAATGGCCAAGTTGCGGCTCGGTGTAAACAATGTCGTTGAAAAGTGGTATGCATTTGAAAAACAATAGAAATGAGACAAAACTGTCAGACCCCGTTTCAAAAGCTAGTGTCGCTCGGCAATATTTAAAACTTTCATGTAATATAATATACCAAAACCTGATCTTAAGATATTGTTAAATACACATATAACATATATTTAAGGAATTTTGGAATTTTATTTGCGCAAAACATCGGGATCAACCTCATAGCTTAAGTGCAGTCATTCTTTGTTAAATAACAAAATTTTTTTTGAATTCGTTATGACGAATTAAATCTGTTAAAATGAATTTGAAATTTTGTTTCAGGGAATTAAATTCGCTTTAAAAAATTCTAAAATTTGCTATAACAAATTAAATTCGTGAAACAAATTCTAAAATTTGTTATAGCGAAAAAAAAATCGTTGAAACAAATTCAATTCAGCAACCATGGTCTTTAGAAACATATACATGAATTCGATATCAAGATTTGTCAAATTAGTTTAAATGAATTTTATTCGAATTCCTTCTAACAAATTAAGAAAATTGATTTTGTTTCGGAGAATTTAATTCGACACAAGTTTTAGAATTCATTATACCGAATTTAATTCATTATTACAGGCTTTTAAATTCCATTATAATAAATTTAACAAATTTCTAATATAGATTAAATTCATTATGACAGAATTCAATGAAATTGTTTTGAAGAATTTAATTTGTAATAACAAGTTCGACAGTTCACAAATATTAATTAAAAGAATTGTTAAGAACCTTGAAAGCTTAAAATAACAAATTTGTAATAAAAAAAAATCCACAAACCTCTAAATAGGGCTTACTTTTTAAAAAACTTTACCTGTAGATCTCCAGATTTAATTGAGAAAGGACTTTGAAAATATTTTTTAGAATATATTTGTGAATGGCTTGCTTACCACTGTGATGAGATGTTTATTTTTGTTTAGGCTGGAATACCCAGAGACCAGTTACTGATAACACTGGAGCCTGAGGCGGCCTCATTATACTGTAAACAGCTCCCCATAGAGAAACTGAAGTCCGAGGGGGGCGTCCAGGGATTCGGAGTCTTCTCAACGGGAAGCAAATACCTAGTTCTGGATTGTGGAGGTATGCCTTAGTTTTAAATGCCCTTATGTATAGCACACCTGTTATATTATTATTATAGCCTATCTTCATCATAAAACATCTCTCTAACAGTTCAAATGTTTCTAAAAAAAATTTCACTCACTGCACATCATTAGCCTATATAACCAGCAAAGTAAAGGATTTTCTTTGTTTTTGAATTGACTATTGTTTTGCAAAGTTGCTAAAAGCTTACTTCCATCTAATCTCTTGAAGAACTCTCTGGAATAAACAAGAGACCCAGGGGCCATATACCACTCACCTGGGCAACTGGCAAGGTGAAAGCAAAACTCAGTTCAGAATTGAAAAGTATAAATATAAAACTGGGTTCAGGGGAAAGGGGTATTTAAACAAACTTAAATCCATCCTTCCTAAGGATGCTTTTGAATTAATATTCCACAGAGCCAAAATGAATTTGAACTACCTTATTTAATTGGATACTGAAACTTCATTAGAATCATTACAGTTAAAGATACAGGTTACAGTTAATGTTCAACTAAGCCTCTTTTGTTACTCCTCACTAAGATCTTGATAGTAGTGAACAAAAACCAAGAGTACTGTGCAAATAAGTATTCAAGAAGTGGTGTGAATCAGATTGGATACTAAAAAATTCTAAAGAACTTTTGGACAATTTGAAAGACTTTACAAAAACCAACAGGCTAAAAACTATACACAACAATTCCCCACGACAAATTAAAATCAAGGCTTTTTGATTTCATGGACAACTGCTTCTTCTAATAATATTGGAACTCGTAAATTTACTTACCTCGTCATTGGTCATTTGCAAAATTATTTTGTTAAAACGGATTCTGATTGCACACAAGTACTCTGAAGGTGACATCAAGTTTCTGATTGACAATATCTATGCGGTTCTTGGAGACCAGGAATTCCAACAATCTTTTGTAATTCCCTTGGGTACAAATTGCGCTCCATTATCAGCAGACTTATTCTGATATTCATATGAAGCAGAATTTATGCAAAATCTTATGCGTGAAAAGAAGAAACCACTTGTTGTGGCCTTCAACTCAACATTCAGATATATCGACGACGTCTTGTCAATTAATAATGGTAATATCCATTTCTACGTCGATACGATATATCCTGGTGAGCTTGAGATAAAAGATACCACAGAGTCCGACACTTCTGTTTCATACTTGAATATTTACTTGGAAAAAGACACTAATTGGTAATCTAACAACCAAGCTATATGATAAACGTGATGACTTTAACTTTTCTATCGTCAACTTCCAATACTTATGCAGCAATATACCTTCATCACCTGCATCCGGAATACATATATATCTCAGTTGATTCGATGTGCAAAAGCATGCTCTGCGTATGAACAATTTCTAAAACGAGGTAAATTATTGACAAGCAAGTTGATGAAGCAAGAATATCAGAAGTGTCGTTTTAAATCATTTCGTAAGTTCTATGGTCGATCCAATGACCTTGTCAACAAATACCATTATCAGTAAGTCAAATGCTGACTGACGTTTTATCATAGTAATTGTTAGTCCATTATTCATACAATACATTGACGACGGATTTTTTCCGTTATTTCCTGATCATGACAAGGAACACACGGTGGGTGTGACTGGTCGGCAGGGAATGCTCACTCCTCCATGGCACCTGATCCAACCTCTGATGTTTCGGGGTCCGTGTTTGCGCTTCTCTTATTTTGCATTGTTTTATGGACTTTGAGACTGAATACTGTTCGTTATCTCCATATCCTTCTAAACATAATGGCTTTGTTGTTTATTGGATGAAAATTATTATTGATGAATCCTTTACATTCCTCTGATGGCTCCTCTATTCTCCATATTCTCACGATGGGAACAAGTTTAAATTTGCATTACCTAATTTGATGTTTTTATGCTGTTGAACAATTATGGCTTTGTTGTTTTTGTGAAGAATTTAAACTATTTTTACTATGTATTTCTATGTAAAGCTTTAGTCACCCATTGTGGTCCCACTCTTCCCCCCAGGGATAACAATTTGAACAATCTTAAATCTTATCTACCTTTTTCATGCTTCCATATAATTATGACCAATCAGGGGTTTGCTGTTCGTGAGAAAAAGATTTGATTTTTCCTATTTATTCCTATGCTAAACTTTGATACACCATTGTGGCCCAACCCTACCCCAGGGGGTAGAATTTGAACAACCTTTATTTACACTAAATGAGGATGCTTCTACATGAATTTCATTTTTCCTGGCCCAGTGGTTCTTGAGAGGAAATTTTTTAGAAATTTTTCTATGTTTTCTTATGTTAAACATTGATACCCCATTGTGCCTCCCTACCCTCGGGGGTCATGATTTGAACATACTTGAATCTAAACTACATGAGGATGCTTCCACATAAAGATCATCTTTCCTGGCCCAGTGGTTCTTGAGAAAGGAAAGATTTTAAAAGATTTTTCCTGTGTATTCCTATGTCAATCTTTAATACCTCTTTGTAGAACAATCCTGCTGGGGGTCATGATTTGAACATACTTGAATCTACCCTACATGAGAATGCTTTCATATGAGTGTCATCTTTTCTAGTCAAGTGGCTCTTGAAAAGAAGATTTTTCACTTATTTATTATCATTCCCCCTTTAAACAGGGCATGGCCCTTTATTTGAACAAACTTTAAAATCCCTTCACCCAAGGATACTTTGTGGAAAGTTTGGTTAAAATTGGATAAGTGGTTCTTGAGAAGAAGATGAAAATGTGAAAAGTTTACAACGACAGGTAACAGACAAGTTTGATCAGAAAAGCACACTTGAGCCTTCGGCTCAGGTGAGCTAAAAATAAAAAGAAATGTTCCTGTTTAACTACGTCATCAAACAATAATTTGTTAAGGAAAAGCAAACATGTAGAGTTCAACCTCAATATATATCTCAGACTCGATAATAAGTCAAAATGACAGAGTACTGATATAAAAATATAAATATACGAGTAAAAAGAAAAAAAAAAATTACTAACGGTAAACGTTTTAGGAAAATACGAACTATATGAAAAAATTGTGTACTAGTAATGTGAACGATACAGAATCATTACATGTATTATTTCGTTTGCATAAAAAATAATTACGTAGATCAAATCTTTAAATGTCAATGCAACACATTATCAAATATTAAAATGAAAATGCATTATTTACTGAATAAATAATATATATCCTATCAAATTAAGGTACCAATGAAATTATAGAATAAAACTTCATTCAGGCAATCTATACCAAATGAGCAAATGAACTTTCCGCTTATCAAATTTGCAGAATATATTTCTGAAAACGATATGACAAAATAAATAAAAACAAATAAATGTATATAAAAGCAAATTTCATAATATCAAAAATAGGCACGAATAAAGCTTAGAGTACATTATATACATGTAAACAAGCCAAAATTTTATAAAGCTCGTAATAGATTACTTTAATCCATTACATTTTATGATATTGACTGTTATTAACCATTTTTTCTATCTAACTTCTAAGGGGAGATACTTCTAAATCCATAAAACTATCCAATAGACAAAATGCTTTACTGAGCAGTGTTTGGAGCTTCCTTAAGATTATAAAAGGTAGTAACCGCAACTCGTATAATTTTTTTTATAGAATTTTTCTAATAAATTGTTACTGTTTTCCTCGTTAATAAAAAGTGTCGCAAAAATTGATCCTCGGTGGTCTACAGTATTCACCTTTTCTATGCATAAGCAAAAAATATTGTTACTGTTATACTGATTTTGTGTATCAGTATTGGATAAAATTATTTCAGCAATATCATTATAACATGTTAATTCCAATGAATTATGAATTATTTTAAATGCCCCTTTCATTTTTAAATACCTTCGTAAAAAAATTTAAAGTAAAAAATTACATTCAACGAACTTCTTATTCAAATGTTAATGAAATATATTTTGGACTTCTAAAACATTTGTTACAACAACAATTGTTGTATTTAAAGGAGGAACAGTAGACATCACCGTTCATGAAGTACAGCCCGATCTCAACCTAAAGGAGCTGTACAAAGCTAGTGGAGGAGCGTGGGGAGGGACTCAGGTGGACGAGGCCTTCAAACAAATGCTGCAGAAAATAGTAGGAGCCCCTGTCATCTCTGAGTTTGCCCGCTCACATACAGCTGATTATGTGGACATGTATAGAGAATTCGAAACCAAGAAACGTTCCATTACTGGTGACCCAAAGGGCAAAATCACCATAAAAATTCCATTTTCTCTGGTGGATACTTTCAGACGACACAGGGGAGAATTTAACAGAGACAATAAAGAATACAAAGTTTTCAGGAAAAATTACGTGGGTGGGGGACAAATGCAGAGTATCAGCCGAAGTGATGAAAAGCTTTTTTGAAGTGGCAGGGGATCAAATTGTGGATCATGTTAGATACCTATTAAGTAAACATGAAATCTCAGGGACCAACAACATTATAATGGTCGGAGGATTTTCTGAGTCACCAATTCTACAGGACATGATCAAACAATCTTTTCCAGATATGAGGGTTATTATTCCCCCCGATCCAGAGTTGCAGTCCTCAAAGGAGCAGTGCTGTTTGGACACAAACCTGTCATCATTTCTTCCCGTATTGCCAAATAAAGCTACTAATGTCTACGACGGCTGTTCAATAAATAATGTCCTGAACTATATAACATACATTACAGGTATCATATGACATTAAAGTTGACTTTCTCTCTTTATTGAATCTTTCATGAATTTATAAAAGATTATTTGACATTTCATCACATTGTTTAATCGTGAGAAGCTGGAAAATAAGGGGTTTTCGAGACACTGCATTATAAATGAATGGTAAAGAATCAGTAAACTAGTGTGAAAATAAAAGCTTCATTATAGCTGCTGTAAAACTTGTTAAAAATCCCAAAGAAATATTCACTGAAATATATGATATTTACAGCAACCAGTGCCTGTTTTATAGACAAAAGAGCAGGTGGATTTCAATGATAAAAAAATTATGTAATGGGCATCAAAAATGGGTACCCTCCTTGCCAACAAAACATAACAACTTATGTACAGGTTGCCAAATTTTGATGATGAATTATTGACTTTAAGACACAGAGCAAATTTGATAGACATCATATCGAGAGTAGTTTATACCGTTTTTAAGAAACGTTTGACGGTAAAAAAGCTTGGTACTCAAAGGTAACCCTATCTTTTTAAAAATGAGTGAAAACGACAGCGTATACGAAATTCTTAACAATCATTTTAAAATATCAGTAATTTTAGTTATCCACGTGTGTTTTATTTTCAAACAGATTATTGGAACATGAATCTATTGATTAATACCCTCAAAACAAAATTTACCATAAGATGTACTTAATAAAAACGGCGAATGTCCGACAAGAGCACAGGTACTAAGAGCACAAAGACAGATTTATATGTAATTTTCTTCATAAATTAGTGGTATTCTTGTTCATATTCGTATTCGCAGAGACAGTTTAATTTCTAGAGGAGTCTAAAAGCAATTTAAAAAAAAACAAAAGGTTTATTAGAGGAAGGACCCAGAATAGGAATCCACTACATTGAATTTCTTCAA